AAATTCTTTTTTTACCAGCTACATTATTAGAGAAAACAAGCAAACCTTACCTTCAGTACATTAAAGGAAAGGTCATTGAGCAGCTTTTAATTTTCTTCATTGCATTTTCCTTTTGGTGCAAGTGTCAGTTCCGGGCAAGGGCCTACCACTTGTTCTATTTTTTTTTCTCTTTCAAGATACTTAGGAATCTAAAAATATCATTTTTTTTCTCTGGTTATTTCTCAAAAAAAGCTATCCTTCTGCCCTTCTACGTTTCTTTATATCCTGTGGACATATTTTTGCTATGTGATTTTTTAGTTGCAGTTGTTGGTTTGGAAAAGGGTTAATATCAATTCTTGACCCTGTGAAATAGGGGTGAGATAAAAAGCTGTGTACCTTGATATGAGACACAGCAAAGTCAACTGAAGGAAGCCAAGGAAATCCAATTTTGGGTACTTGCAAACGTATCAGCTTGCAAGCAACTAATAACATTATAAATTATGTACATGTTTAGATTTCCACAGTGATTTATTTAAATGGAAAATTGTTATAAGCTGAGCAGAATCATTTTCAACATTCAGCAAAATTTCAGAACATACAGATATTACATGCTTTTTACAAAAATTGAATTTTTTAAAGAATAAAAACCAAAATTCTTTTGAAATATTTTGTATAATTTGAAGCAAGCTTTATAAAGATGAAATTTGCAGTGTCTTCTCATTTCTTAGTGTTTATTAATTATGAAACTGAAAAATGTGAGATAATAAATTTACAAAGACAAGAATTATTAGCAGCCTCATTGTCACGTATTTCTAAATTTAGGGTAAAATGATATTGCCAAAATGACACTATATTCTACTTATTTTTTTCTTTTTAAAGTATTTTACTTTTTTGGTAGTGAGAACAATAACATGAGTTCTACTCTCTTAATATTATTAAGTGCTCAATGCAGTATTGCTAGCTACAGACATAATGTTTTACAGTAGATTTCTAGAAGTTATTCATCCTGTATAACTGAAAGTTTGTAGTGTCAAGCAATAATTCTTCACTTTCGCCCACCGTTCTCTATTTCTATTAATTTTATTAATTTAAATTCTTCATATAAGTGGAACCAGGCAGTATTTGTCCTTCTGTGACTCACCTGTTTCACTTAATGTAATATCCTCCATATTTATCCATGTTGAACTATATCACGGACTCCCCTGCCTTAATGTATTTGAATAGTATTCTCTCGTATGTATTACGTTTTAAAAATCTATTCATTTTTTGGGGGATTTTGAGGTCGTTTCCATATTTTAGCCACTATGAATAAAACTGCAATAAATATGGAAGTGCAGTTATATCTTCAAGATCCTGATTATTGTTCTTTTGAATATACAATCAAATGTGTGCTTTCTGGATCATATGGTGGTTGTGTTTTTAATTATGAAAACTGTTCAGTACTGACATATAGACAGGCATATAGACAAATGGAACAGAACACAGAGCCCAGATTATATTAAAAATTCAAAAAATTGCTAAGCACATATGAAATTTACTGTGCTGATCACTTTGCATTTTATGCAAATGTATGCAAGTCACTGTGTTTTACACCTGAAATTAATGGAAGGTTGTCAATTATATTACTATCTTAAAGAATGGATAGATCAGAAATCTACACATATATGGTCATTTGATCTTTGACAAAGTTATCAAGAATACACAAAGGGGAAGGAATGTCTTCCACATAGTGTTGGAAAAACTGGATATCTGTGTGCAAGAGAATGAAACTGGACTCTTATCTTCCAATTCAAGAAAAAAATCTCAAAATGGATTGAAGAGTTGGTCATAAAACCTAAAACTATAAACTCCCCAGAAGAATACAGAAACAATTGACATTGGTCTTGGTAGTGAGTTTTTGGATATGACACCAAAACACTGCTATGAAAGCAAAAGTAAATGAGTAAACTACCTCAAACTAAAAACTCAAACCAAACCAAAACAAAAGCAACAAAAAAAGTCTGCACGTCAAAGTAAATAATAAACAGAATGAAAAGGCAACCTATGGAAAGGGATAAAATATTTGTAAACTATATATCTGATAAGGGGCTAAAATCTAAAATATCTAAGGAACTCTTATAACCTAGATGTTAAAAAAATTCCAAAGAACCTAATTAACAAATAGGCAAAGGACTTGAGCAGGCAATCAAATGGTTACCAGATGTATGAAAAGTTGCTCAAAATATTTGATCACCATAGAAATGCAAATTGAAACCATAGACCTGGTAGGATGGCTACTATTAAAATCAATGGCAAGTGTTGGTAATATGTGGAGAAAAGGGGACGCTCGCTCACTGTTGGTGGGAATGCAAATTGGTGTAGCCACTGTGGGGAACAATATGGAGTGTCCTCAAAAAATTAAAAGCGGATCTACTATTCCATTCTGATAGCACCAAATAATAATTTTTATTTTTATTTATATATTTTTTAGAGATTTTTTTATGCGTACAAGAAGTGGGGTACAAGCCAGAGGTGTGGGAGGGGAGAAAATTCATCAGAGACAGAGTGGGGAGCAGAACAGGTGGGTCTACTGAAATACACTGCTGAGGGGAGCAGCAGGAGAGACAGGAGATGTCTACGGCACCATGTGCATCAGCTCCCTGGCCAGGGATTGAACTCCTGCTGCAGTGGCTGCTAATAGCTTCATAGTGCAGAGACTTTAACCCCATGTGCCACCAGGGAGGCCCTCAAATACTAATTTTTAAATGTCCAATGTTGCTTTAACATATTGCTTGTTCTTATAAACTTAATTCTGGTAGTAATAACATTTATAGATAGAAAAACAAATACAAATATATATCCATTTCTCAAATGCAGGAAACATTTAGCGCAAACTACAGAAAATGAAAATAATTAGCAATCAGTATTTTAAAAGGTAGTTTAAGTAGAAATTATTGCACTTCATTTTCAAATGGTAGGGTTTTCTTTTTTAATCAGAAAGTACTAGAAGGTGTTTGGCAGAGGAAATAAAGTTGTGTTTTAGAAATTACACTGAGATTGTGACTAATGTCGTGTCATAGTTTAAATATGTGCATCTCTAATGATTAAACTAGAAGAAAAGGATTACAAAAAAGTTACATAAATGGTGGCAGGCAGCATAAAAATAGTGTACTTAAAAATTATTCAGTCTTTGGTCTATTATTTAAGTTTTACATGGTAAGGAAATGAATGATTGTAGAAGGGAAGAGCAGCTTCCTGCTTTGCAATACCTGCTGGCAGAAGACTTGGAGTAGTACCTGCTTCCACCGGGTGGGGCATGGAAGCTTAGCTCCCTGTTTCTTCCACTGACATCATTTCTCCCCGGAGTCAGACTGCTGCCATATGTTTTGGTTGAGAATGGTGGGATGGGAGATCAACTCCTAGCTCAGCTCAGTCACACTGTAACTATGCAGGAGAGGGGTTCTGTTAGTACTTGACTTATTAGGGTGGGTATTTCCAAAGTTGGCTTTCTTTTCTGGATGGTTCCTTCAAGAAATAGGCTTTGCGGGCCTCCCCGGTGGCGCAGCGGTTGAGCGCTGGGTTGCGAAGCTGCGCGCGGCCTCTGCGGCGCCGGTTCGATCCCCGGCTGCTCCCCGGCCACCAGAGGAGGGTCCCACATGGCGCGCAGACCTCTCCTGCCGCCCGCTGCTCCCCTCAGCAGTGTACTTCGGTCCTTCTGCCTGCTCTGCTCCCCGCTCTGGCTCTGGTGAATTCTCTCGCCCTCCCGCGCTTCTGACTGTACCCAGTGCATGTATAAACAAAACAAACAAAGAAACCAGCAAACAAATAAATAAAGCATGCCTCTATTAAAAAAAAAAAAAAAAAAAAAAAAAGAAATAGGCTTTGCTCGGATGTTTAGTTTGCTTTTTGGTTATTTTTTTTGTCTTAGTTGAAGTTCCGGACTAGAATCTTCTGTAGCACCCTCCCCAATCTATATCGACAATGAAGAAACCGGGGTGCTAACCACTCTATCATTCCTCATGTCCTAAGGTCTCCGAGCTGTCCATGTTCTTCTTGACACCTTTCAGAGTCATACTTGTTCGCGGGTTGTATGTAAGATTTTTTTTTCAGTTGTAGCAGAGGTAACTTTAGAGAAAAGAGCTATTCCATTTTGACTGAAAGTGGATGTGCTAATTGTCCCTTTTTGTTATATTTATGATCTTGCAGGTATTCTCCATTATCACTCTTTTAGAAATACAGATTTCTAAACTATTTTTCATTTTATGTAGCAATGTCTTCTGAATAAAAGAATTACAAACAATGGGCAAAACACTATAGCCAAGCAGCTAACTCTTCTTTGCAGAGAGTTCTTTTAAAGATTGTATGTACAGTAATCATTCTGAGGACTAAGAAACTTGATCAAAGCCATATACTTTGATAGTGACTGAGCTTTGACTTTCAAGCAGGCCTGTTAGATTCCTAACCAGATTTTTTTTTCCCTTTTCTACTGATAGTATTCCTGGAACTGAATTATTGCTTTGTATGTCATTGCTGAATTATCATGAGCTCTTTAGGTAGGCAGCATAACATTAGTATACTTAAAAAATATTCAGTCTTCGGTATAATATTTAAGTTTTAAATGGTAAGGAAATGAATGGTTGTGGAAGGGAAGATTAGCTCCCTACTTACATAATATTTTTAAGTTTCACGATTAGCACATAAGGTGCTAATATGCATTTTATAGAATTTCATATGCATTTTATAGAAGTTGATATGCATTTTATAAATTTAATATGCATTTTATAGAATTTGTTTCTTAAAAATGTACTAATTAGAACCCCTTTTAAAACTCTGTTTCTTAAAAAAATAATAAAAAAAAGAAATAATACACTGGATATAAAAATGAAAAGGAAATAATTCTTTATAAAATTATTCTTTTCCACATTCAAAGGAAAGAAAACTTAGGGGCTCTTGTAAAGAAAAAAAAATTGAAATAAATGTAAAATAAAGGCAACAACCTGAGATGAGAACATGAAGGGAATTATTAAATCATCTTCCTTCAGCTTTATCTGCAGAGTCATCAGATAAATATGCCAGATGAAGAGTTTGTGATGGAGAACACTTGCTGGATCAAAACCAAGAAGGAAAGGTAAGCTTACAATTTATGATAAATGTTTATCATGTGTTTTTCAACTTAAAGGAAGAGAAAAAATGTCCTGAATATGTCCAGATTGCCAAAAGTTTTGTTTTCCACAAAAACAAATATATCCAGAGACAAATGTTTGATGTCCATGAAAACATGAAAGCTTCTTTTTTTTAAAAAAAAAAAAAAAACTTTTTTAAATGAGAGGTCTGTAAGTATATTTGAATCTCAAAATCTCTATTTGTGGCATAGCTTTCTTTGACTTAGCTTTCTTTGACTTTCCCTCAAAGAATATTTGGAGAATGTACTAAAACTTTCTTCAGTGAAGTTTTAACTAAAATTATTTCATGAAAGAGGATGAGGGTGAAAAGGTGATATAAATATTAGTTTTAAAAAGAATAGTGAATATTTGATGGATGATGATCATTATTTTCTTCTAGAAAATTAAGTCATGAGCTGCAAAAGAGTACCACTTAAATAGCTGAAGTCTAATAGTTAATGTTCATTGATTTTTCAGGGTATCTCAGTTGGTGGAAATGAAATTGCACTTAAGTTATTTATAAACTTTACCTATATATGTACTTAGATTTTTATACTTATTTTCATGTTTGTGGTGGGCATATTCCTTTCACTGATAGATGCATGTGTTTAAATATTAAAGGAAGTATAACTACTTGTATAACTACTATTTTATCCATACTAGGTAAAATATAATATGTCTAGGTAGTGTGGAAATTGGTACTATCCATTTTTTTCTAAGCAACTGGTTGAAATTATTGATTTCTGTGGAGACGTAGACACTCACTCTGGAAAAGGGACTGCTTCACCCAAATTTCTTTTTTTTTCCCTTTTTTTTTAAAAAGATTTATTTATTTATACAAGAACTGGGCTACAGTCAGAGGAGGGTGAGGGTGAGAGAATTCACCAGAGAGAGTGGGGAGCAGAACAGGCAGAGGGACCAAAGACACTGCTAAGGGGACCAGCGGACGTGGCAGGAGAGGTCTGCTCAACATCAGGGATTCTCACCGGCTGGCTGGGATCAAACCCGTGCCGCAGAGGCTGCGGACAGCTTCATGGCGTGGTGCTCAACACACTGCGCCACTGGGGAGGCCCGGCTTCAGCCACATTTCTATGACTCTTAGATAAGAGACATGCAAGGGCTGGAAAAAGGCAAATACAAGAGAGGACAAGGTTTCTGAAACAGAACCCATGATTATGGCCTGGTTAAAGTAAGAGAGTTATTTTTCACTGTAAAGGGAGAGAAAAAATGACTAGAAATGGGAGCCAGAATTAATTAAAAGAGTCTGAAAATCAAAATGGACTAGACTGTTTGCTGTGGTGTGATAGATACTTGAACTTAATAAACTTCAATTTCTCTTGTAGTGTATTCGTTGCATAAAAGTGAGTCATGTTTGGTTCACTTAGATTTTACTGTTGTTTCTTTTTTTGCATTTTCTTTTGTCCTTTTCAGTAAAGTGGTAGGAAATGTCATGGCGGAGATTGGCTGGAGCCAGCATTCATACTTTGTGTTCACAATGTATTAATAATTTCATTTTACCAGAACAGACAACGCTGGTTATTTCACATGTGTGTGCCATCAGTTAAAAAAAAAAGGTTTTGGGCCTCCCCGGTGGCACAGTGGTTGAGCGCTGGGTTGCGAAGCTGCCCGCAGCCTCTGCAGTGCTGGTTTGATCCCCGGCTGCTCCCCGGCCTCCGGAGGAGGGTCCCACATGGCGCGCAGACCTCTCCTGCCGCCCGCTGCTCCCCTCAGCAGTGTACTTCGGCCCTTCTGCCTGCTCTGCTCCCCGCTCTGGCTCTGGTGGATTCTCTCACCCTCCCGCGCCTCTGACTGTACCCAGTGCTTGTATAAATCAATCAATCTATCTTTAAAAAAAAAAAGGTTTTGCAATACTGATATTGTATGGCAAAGGATAGCGTTGGAGTAAAAAAAAAAATGACATAACAGTGGTTTATAACATGGTGTGTGACTCACATCTTCTCAGATGCGTGTCACCACACCACACCCACCACCTGGGCACCTGCCATCCACCACCATAGTCCAGTTATGCTCATGCCCCATTTTTTTCTTCCCCTCTCCCTCCCCATCTTGTAGTCTCCATTCAACAGTAAGATTTCTAGAGTTTGTTATAGGTTTGGTTTTTTCTGACCCTTTGCTTGGTGTCTCTATATTCCACATAAAAGTGAAATCATCTGGTATGTGCTTTCACTTTCTAATTTATTTCATTTAGCATGATCCCCTCCAGTTCCATCAGTGTTGTCTCAAATGGCAAGAGTTCATCTCTCTCTCTCTCTCTCTCTCTCTCTCTCTCTCTCTCTCTCTTTTAATAGCTGAGTAATAGAATTGGACTTCTAGTGGTGAACTAAGTGTTGTACATACACCTATGTTGATTTTCAGTGATATACAATGGGAAGTTCATAGTGTTATAATGCAACATTATTTGAATTAAAATAAATAAATTAGTGATTGCCTAGGACTGTGGCTGGGAATGGGAAATGATGGATGCTAATGGATATGGGTTTCTTTTGGGGGGCAACAGAAATGTTCTTATATTAGGTAATGATGAGGGTTGTACAAACTTATGAATACACCAAAAATCACTGAATTATTCACTTTCAATGCATAGGCATTATGGCATGAGAATTTTATATCAATAAACCTGTTAAAACTATTACATCATGAAGTTTTACAGTTAGAAGTGAACATAGCAGTTTGTCTTGCTTTAATTTGCATTTTCTCAAATTTGACTTCTGTCAAATAAGAGAGCAACAGAATTAATTTTCTGGCAATGCAGTTACAGTTGTCATATTCATGATAGGCCACAATAATAACACATCAAATATTTTGCTTACATTTTATGTATCATGAAATAGTATTCCTCAGACAGTAGAATTTTTTGATCATTAAATTTATAATCACACAATAAACTTGCCAATTTGAAAAGTAAAATATACTTTGCTAAAAAGGATTATAAAGGCACTTTGGATTTATGTTAAATTCTATTTTCTTGAAAGTATAGCTCCAGTATAATATATTGTAAATATGAAATATATTCCAGACTTTGGCATACTTTGAGTATAAATTTCAGCTGGTCATTCAAAGTGAAAGTGTCAACCTCCGTGAAAAAAGTACATGTTTCACGCTGTCAGGGTTCCTAGTTGTGAAACTGTACTTTTTTTTTTTAAGCAGTGTATTTATTTTTAAGCATAACCTTGCCTCTGACATACTGTAGTGAATTAGCCAAACTTACAGCAACTAATTAAACTAGGCAAAATGTTTGCCAAAGGAAAGGCTGTGTGATTTGATGAAAGTTGTTTATGAAGTTGATGAACACCCAGAAAATAATTTTTATTAAAATTATGTTGAACTGACAATACTTAAATTGTGCACCTTAATTATGTTTAAAAAGTCTATTCATCAAATGTCAGCGTAACTTCCAATGTGCACACTTATTGTTAAGATAGAAGAAATCAAACAAATAAAAATGTGGTGATATTAATGGAGTGGAAATCTACTGAATCAAGAATAATCTAGGAGCCTCCCCAGTGGCGCAGCGGTTGAGAGCTGGGTTGCGAAGCTGCCTGCGGCCTCTGCAGCGCTGGTTCGATCCCCGGTTGCTCCCCGGCCACTGGAAGAGAGTCCCGCATGGCGCGCAGACCTCTCCTGCACCCGCTGCTCCCCTCAGCAGTTGTACTTTGGTCCTTCTGCCTGCTCTGCGCCCAGCTCTGGCTCTGGTGAATTCTCTCACCCTCCCGTGCTTCTGACTGTACCCAGTGCTTGTATAAACAAACAAACAAACAAATAAATAAATCTTTTAAAAAAAAATAAAGAGTAACTGAGGGCTTCCCTGGTGGTGCAGGCGGTTGAGCGCAGCGCTGTGAAGCTGTCCGCAGCCTCTGCAGTGCTGGTTTGATCCCCGCTGGCGTCGGAGCAACCCACATGGCGAGAAGACCCCTTCTGTCTCACCCGCTGCTCCCCTCAGCAGTGTATTTTATCAGTCTGCCTGTTCTGTTCCCTGCTCTATCTCAGGTGAATCCTCTCACCTTCCCGCGCATCTGGCCTGTACCCCAGCTCTTGTATAAATAAAATAAATCTTAAAAAAAGGGTAACTGAGTTACCTATTTATTGTTGCTCAGAAACAGAGGAACGTGCTAGAATCCAATTTGTTTGGGTGATGAAAAATTGATATTTTAACTTCATATTAAACTTGTACCTGAGGTATTTTTTTCTTAAATTTCCAATGTATTTAGAATAGTTAGCATTACTTAAAATTGCGTAAAGTGACAGAGGGTCTTGTTTCTTAAATGTCATGTACTATAACAAATATATTTTGGGGACAGAGTAAAACCTGTGGGATTTGGTATTTATATCTACACAATATAAAGACTACTGGATGCATTTCATTTGTCTTCCTAATGTGATAACTAACAATTATCCACTTCAAAGAAATGACACGTAAGAAATCTTTTACACTTGGGCCTCTCCTGGTGGCTGGTGGCGCAGTGGTTGAGCGCGGGGCTGCGAAGCTGCCCGCAGCCTCTGCAGCTCCGGTTCAATCCCGGGCCACCCGCCAGGGTCCCACATGGTGTGCAGACCTCTCCTGCCGCGCCCGCTCCTCCCCTCAGCAGTGTATTTCGTCGGGCTGCCAGTCTGCCTGTTCTGTTCCCCACTCTGGCTCTGGTGAATTCTCTCACCCTCCCGCACTTCTGACTGTATCCAGTGCTTGTATAAATAAATAAATAAATCTTTAAAAAAAAAAAAAAGAAATCTTTTGCACTTAACATTGTCTGTACAATAAATATATTTCAATTGGTGGGCTAAAGTAAATTTGAGGAAAATGTTGAAACATAAACATTCATATTGTCTCTAACTTTCTTTGAAGAACCTAAATTCCATAGTTCTATGATAATTCACATTGACTATATAATACAGATTTCTGACATTATAGTTCTACTTGTCATTATTCATGGTCTGTCATAGTTTTAAA